TCTTGCCGGTGCCACTGGCAGCGGGTATTTTTTTGAAAAGCGAGGTTTTTTTCCGCGTCAGGCGACTGGGTTTCCTTAAACCTGCCGCCACCAGCCCCACATCCTTTCTGGACACTAGGGATACCGGTGTATTTATGCAAATCCATGCAGCAAAATGTTTACTTCACCCCTTTGCTGCAGTTTCCCTGCGTTTACAACCTTTAACCAATTACGCGATTAAAATAAACCCAGAACAATAGCTCCACTCGCTTGTGCCTCCCTCTAGAGCTGGCGCTTTGCAGGAGTGGAAGCGTGCCTGGCTCGGTGGCGGGGAAGAGGAAGGGAAAGCCAGCTAAACCCGCCGTACAAATCCCGACGCCGGGGACGGCTGTTCCGGAGCCGTGGGTGCGGAGCAGGGCCCCAGTCCGAGGCCCCTGGATGTGACTTTCCGAGCGGGGCCCCGGCTCGGTCCCTGCTCCGTCGGGAGCACGCTCGTTCCTCGGGCAGATAATATAAATTTGTCGTGTTTGTCGCAGCGGCTGGCGCGTCCCTGCGGTTCCCTTCACGGAACCATCACTCACGGGGGCGTGAGGCGGTGGGGAAAAAAATGACGCAGAAATCTTGGTAGGGATTTATACTTCATACCTTAGCCCTCTGCCTGCTGTTCCTAAAAAGGACTGCTCTCGGCCGTCCTCTCAGATACCGCGGTCCGCGGGACCCCGCCGCGGAGCGGGAGAAAGGGGAGGGAGGGGAGAGGGGGAGATAAATTAAACCGTTTTACTGATCAGAGCGGACTTCTCTTCCCGTGGCTGCGGGCAACGGTACGGCAGGCTCTGCCCTCGCCGGCTGCGGCCTCCGCTGGGAAACGCACCCAAACCGTGCGATAATGTTTAGGGGGGAAAAAATGCCCTTTTTTCCGTTTACGCATGGTTTGGGACCACAGGCCATTACAGCCCCACGCAAAGCCACAAAACCTTTGCATTTATCTGCTCGTCCGCCATCCGCGGGGGAAGCTAGGCCTGGTGTGGCCGCGGTTTGCATAGCGGGGCTGGAAGCCCCGCACCGGTCGGGAGTAGCCGTGGGGGCCGGCGGGGG